CTGTAATAAATTTTGTTATTTCTCCCAATTGAATTTAGGGAGGAAGATATTTTGGTGACCATTCTCTATTTTCAAATGATAGGTTAATTTTCTTATGGTGTCATCCATATCATTGCAACCTCCTTACTATGTGCATATTTAGTACGATTTAAAGGGGAAAGCTTCAAGCTTGAACTTATTAATAATAAAATAGGGAGTTATAAAATGGATAGTTTGTTATATTAACTCAAATTTTTTCTTTTCTATTAATATTGGCATCTTTTCACTAATTGGATATCACCAAATCATACATACCATACGTTTAAGTGATTGTCCGCTTGAACCCCAATCCAGAGTTCTTACCGCCTACCTCGTCTTCACTCTCTGTACAATCTTTTTTGAATGATAATTCTAAGATTTTCGTTGTTGCCAAAATCGAATTAGAGTAACAAGTGCATGAATTTGCAGGTTGGGTGTTGCATGAAGCTGTTATTCACCTCAACGCAGAATGTATGCAGAAGGTTTAAGGCGAACAGTTAGGGTTTCAACATTGAAATAAACTAGGTTGGTAATATCTGATCCCATATTATTGCTACTAGATCAAGAGGTAATGAAACGTAGAAGGCTACTTTAGTCAGTTACTTATTTATTTATTTTTAATTTTTTTTGTAGTTATTTCTCTCTCCCCCCCCCCCCTCCTTTTTGTTTATATTCAGGTGTCGGAATTGGTGGGCCCATGTGTGAAGCTCCATAAAATGGAAATTCGTTTTGGTAATTTAGTCTAGTCTCTTCAATCAGTCTATGTAATTTTAGGCTTTTTATTATATTTTTATGATTTTTATTTGGGGTTTGTAAATGGCCTTTATTAATTTTTCTTAACCCTATCTTTTATTAATTATTAAATTTTTTATAATTTTATTTGCTAGGGTAGGTTAGCTGTATGCTAGTGATTTATTCTTTAATTTATTATTTATTATGCATGTCTGACTAATTTGTTTTGGCTGCACGGTAGAATGAATATTAGATTTTTCATTTGAGATGGTTACTATGAAAAAGAAAAAAATCTGTATTTTGGGTGGAGATAGAAACTGGCTTTTGGAGATGATTTATAAACTGTCATTATTCTTGTAAATGGGCAACTTTTTAGCATCTGGATCAGATATGCAGCCCAACTATCACGCCCAAAGGACTGAATAGCTCATTATTAGATAAACATTTTGGGCTTCAAGGTCCTTCAAGCAAATATTCTCGACCTCAGTTCCAAACAAACAATTCGTCGGAGTCTTAGTTCAAAAAAAAATAATAATAAATAATAATAATTCTTCGGAGTCCTATGGTTCATTTTTTGGGCCTTGAGCCGATTAGGTAAATATAAGGGCCTTTAGTGCCCATAATAGAAATGATTTTCCCTAGAATCGTTGGTCGTCTAGGCCCACGGAGACTCAGTAAGACAACATTGAAAATCTCAAGCCCAAGGGCCTAATCGTTTAAATTATTGGGGACTAGATGGCCATTAACGGAAGTTTTTGAACGATGAGCCCGAATTCCTTGTGTTGCGCGGGCTTACAGAGCCCATGGTTATCTGGCCCTGTGGGGCCCATTAAGATAAAATTTAAACTCCAATTGTCGGAAATTTTGGGCCTATTGGGCTCAATTCGGTAAGTTATTTGGGCTATCTGGCCCATAAAGTTAAGTTGCTGGGGGGATTAGGCCCAATAAATTAAGTCATTTGGGCCCATAAGGCCCATTAAATGAAGTTACCTGAGCCCATCAGGCCAACTAAGTTAAGTTATCTGGGCACATAAGGCCCATTAAGTTTAGTTCCGGGCCAACCGGCCCAATTGTTGTGGAAATTTGGGCCTCTTTTGGCCCAATTTGGTACGTCATTGGGCATCATCTGGCCCGTTATGTTATTTGGGCTTATCGGCCCATTAAGGTAAGTTAATGGGCCCTTAGGCCCATTAACTTTTTTAACCTTGGGCCTACTTTAGTCAGTCAATTGGGCCTTTTGAGGGTCCAATAATTCAGTTATCTGGGCCACTGGGGCTGTTATTGGGCTAATAAGTCTGTAATTTGGGTCCAGTTGAGCTTAACTTGACATTTCAGCCTAGAGGACCCATTGACGAAAATTTTTCCCAAGGTTCAAATTATTTCAGTTAATTGGGCTGCTATCTGGTAATTTGGGCCTACTTCGGGCTAATTTGTTATCTGGACCTGGATGACATGTTATAACCTTCCCGAATTCAGGAATAATTATTTCAGTTATTTCAGCCTATTAGGCTCCACCCACTCTGTTTAGAGATTTTCACCAACAGTTTGCATCTTGGTCCAAAACATTGAAACCTTGGAGCTTCCAGCCAGCTTAAGAAACCAAGTTATTAGACTTTTACGAGCCACTAAACCCAACTTAAAAATATCTGTAAAGCTAATGGTACAATCTAATAATTTATTAGCCCTTCGAGCCTACAAGAATTTTTTTTTTTAGAACTTCAGGCCCTTTAATTAGACTTTTCGGCTTGTAGGCCCATATAAAAACTTCCCGAACATTGGATCAGCACTAACGCAATCCACCATAAAAAGAAAGAACAAATAAAGAGAGACTCGTATGGTAATAAGCCTCGAATTCTATGATCAGGTGATACTCCCAATGTTCTCCAGCAATGGCCTCTAATTAAGATTGACCCCAGCTTGTTTGTGAACATGTAATTACATACTAAACTAATCTAACACAGTGAATAGTATCATTCATCAAAGACAATTCAATAAAAATAAGTCGCTGCTAACCTAACTCTTGAAGCATTAATTAAAACCATATAAAATTTTAACTAAAAACAAAAATTAATAATAATGGTCACTTACAAACCCAGAAAAATATTAAAATATAATAAAATAAGCCAAAGAACATCTAAAAAGGACGAAACCAAAAATTACAAAATTTTACATTCCCCTGGAGCTTCACACATCAAGTGAAAATCATCACCTTCATCAAGGCAATGGCCTGACAATCTCAGAAAATGGCCCCTTATAATAGGCAGCAAGTAAACAATTAATATATTCATAAATAATGGCAATATGGTTGTAAATTATTCACAATTATACTGAATACTAGTAATCATTGAGGATGGTTGTCAATGCTAGCAGTAAGTATCATAGCAAAGGCAACTTCAAAACAAAATATGTAAACATTTAAGCAGAAATGAAAAAACACAGTATGTCGAAGGACACTAGATCAGAAACCATTGATTTGCACAGGCTCCTTCAAAAGGTTATCCAGTACATCCATAGATTTTGCATATCCTGCATATGCAATTTTTGTTTTGGCCTCAAGTAGAAATGTATAACAGCTTATATGTCACCTCCCAAGCTTAAAAAGGAGGCTTAGATAAAAACAAGAGATGCATCAGAAAAAATTACACAGTACCCACGTGACTACTACAGATCCAATTGACTAGTTTCTGTTTCATCAGTTATTTACTTAAGACTTGGTTTAAGGGAAACGAGGGTAGGATCT